TAGACAAGAAGATGACTGAAGAGAATCAATACAGTCTGACAAGTATAAGGGTGAAACAGAATGGGTAATGGTAGAAAGGAATATGAAAGATTACAGAGACTGAATACATGTTCGCTGGCCATTGACAACGATTTTGAGCCATGTCACCTATTGCCTCCAGCCATTGATTCCTAGAGTCAGTCCCGAGGGCCCCAACCCGGGAGTCTGCATCTCCCTCCCTACCTGACCGACTCAGTTTAACTGTCAAGGATTTCATGGATTGATGACATCCATGTTTTTGTTTGGCCACCACTTACTCTTTTCCAATCTTCACCTATATCAGCTAGCAATGCCCGTCGGGGGAGGCGATGGTTAGGCATGCGCAGCACGTGACCTAGCCATCTTAGTCTATGTAACTTTATAGCCTCGTCGATTGATTTTCCCTCTTTGCCCAACACTCTACGCCTAACGTCAACATTACTTACCTTGTGAAACACTCATATAGCTAAATAAACACAACACCTAGTATCGCTCAAAAAATGATGACTGTAGCGTAGAGATGTATGCAGACAGAATCGAAGAAATTATGAATATTACACTTCTTTTATTACGAGATGCGTTAGTAGCTGTAATTTTACATACGTGTGTCAGATATTCCAATTTAAATAATCTTATAGTTTTGCTCAACTTCACGCTTATAATAATGCAGCACTGCAGTAACTCTCAACCAATCAGAATATCAAATTGTATCGATTGTGATAGTTGTAACACGTGTTACGCATGCTTAGCCATCGCCTTACTAGTCGAGCAATATTAGCTAATGCAGGAGTAATTTTTTGAAAGTTGTTCAGAGGCGGCAAAATCAAAATCTCTCCTCTATCCATTAAGTCTTTTACTGTTTATTTGAGTCAACTGCCTAACTGGCTAGGATTTTTGAGATACTAAGCAGAAATGAATTGAGAGTGTTGGTCATATGGCTAAAAGGTCTTATCAATATCGCAGATACATTATTCAATGGTGAAGTTCAAGAATAGGAGTGCGAATGTTCAAATGACCTTGAAGGCTTGCTAGTCGTTAGTTGAGGAAACTTACTTAACACTGTTCATCTGCTAAGATGCTAATTTCACCCAGATCAGATATTTCAATACTGTCTGGATAGAAGAATTAATTGGACGTTCTTGTATATGTATGTACCTGTGGTGCTTCAATGAACCTAAGAACGTATTCCCAGGTCAGTGATGGATATATATTTAGATGTACAGAGTGTAGGAAACGAATAAGTGTTCGTACTGGTAAGTGGAACTCTCAGTTAATTGTCTTCTAGGAACTTTCTTTGAAAAATCGCAACTTTCCTTGACGAAAATATACTGTTTCTTTGCAATTACTGGGTTTTGAAGTCCGATGTGAGGTCAACTGCAGCTCAGACAGAAAATACGTTAACGTCTACTGTGCAATGGTTCCAATTTTGTCGAGATTTAGCATCGTGAAAAAATGAATAGTATTATTCAAGTGTTGGGAGGAGTCGGTGTGTAGCCGTTCATATAGATGAAACGGTCCTTATAAAGAAGAAGTGCAATCGAGGACGTGCTAGAGTGAATAACGTTTGACTTCTGGGAATTTACGAAACCCAGATTCGCAAAGGACTTATCGAACTGATTCCAGATAGGAGTGTTGACACACTTCTCCCTAATATTCAAAGGCTCGTCTTTCCAGACACTACCATTCATACGGATGAATGGATAGCGTATAACCGACTATCGGATTGGGGATATATACACCATCAAGTCAACCATTGTGATGACTTCGCTGATCCCAGAACAATAGAACAAGAGCTATAAACGGCTCTCAAAATCAAGTTATTTTTAGGAATACATCCTAGATGACATTTCCTAGTTATTTTTTTATTCAAACACCCTGTCTATTTTTGTTATTTCTACATTTGCACAATATGCCAGCCAATCTTCTCAGTAATTATAATGCTACTTTGTTTGAATTTTATCCGTCCCCCATCCTGTTTATTATTATGTCATTTTAATTCCTAATTGACCCTTAACCGGAAATTGTTCTGGAACTTTCCCACCCACTTATTATTATAAATACACGAATGTACAGCTACCTACCTAGTTGACGGTGTCTTCGTCGAAAAGAAAATTTTCTTCCTCGCTGCAACTGTCTTTTTATTATTCTCTTCTTTATTATTGAGCACACACTTACGGACTAGGGTGGGGTTTTGGAGTGCATTAACTCGGATGAGGGGGGCGGGCAGGAATCTAATCCTGGACCAAGTGTAGAGTGGTCAGCGAATATCCTAGTACCACTGAACCGCCGACACATCAAGGTTCTTTGGAATTTGTCCTTTCTCCTTCTTTCTCTCTAGCTCTCCCTACCTTTGTATGACTAATGTGGAGTATGGCAAGTTGAACTGCAGGACGTCTTTATTTTTTTATTTTTGATTTACAGCTTAATTCCACACTGTATTTTTGGTACAAGTATGGAATTTTCAGCATGGATATCGGTAGCCCAAATTTCGCAGGCCGACCATAGATATCAGGTGTGAGTCGGGATAGGATCGAACCTCGGACCATGTGCATGGTTGGCGAGAGTCCTAGCCACTATGCCATCCGATCCATCAGCCAGTCAGTCACACAGACACAAAGGAACTCACTAAAAATATATTGTATATTTTATTATTTCTGATAAAAATTAGTAATAATATAATAATAATAATATACCACATTTTATTGGTTTATAATTAAAGCAGACCATAGCATAGCAAAGCGCATAACCCAACTGAGAAATTGAATGAATGAATGAATAAATGAATAAAATTGAAGGCGCAGAAATCAAACTAAACCAAACCACACCATAGCAAAGCAAAGACTGAAGCGAAAAGCCTGCCCTTCCCCCCATCCCACCCCCCTTCAAAAAAAAACCCGAAGCCATTTCATAGACGTCTTTGTAAAAACCAAAATGAAAACATGATTTATCTATAATAATAATAATAATAATAATAATAATACAGAGGGCAGGCGGGTGGTCAGACGAGGACAAGCATGGTGGCAACAGGGGAGAAAGAAGGCATACAACCAAGAGATAATAAAAGACAGTGGAAGAATATCCGTCTGTTATAAGCGCCTCCACATGAAGAAAGCAGAATATTAAAACAAAATAATTGAGTAATAATAACAATAGTGTTTCAGTAAATAATAGCAATTACTAAATGTTTACATATATATGTATATGTATATATCTGCATTAATTTGTGTGCGTATATACCTCAATTCACAAATATATGTATATATCTTAGACAATAAGGCAGAAAAGAAAGCAAAGAATTGGCGGGGTATACAAAATCTCAGTTCAATGATACACTGAGTATACGAATTAGCAAGTTAGCTAATTATAGTTAGATCAATAATGACTGAGCTTTTGTGCGCTCACTCGTTCGTTCGCCCGTCTATCTTTTAACACAGACAGAATTGACAAATGAAATAACGAAAGTGATTGAAGAAGTCTACAAGAACAATAAGCAGCGATGATGACGATGATGATGACGGACGGATTCATCACACAGCGATGTCAACCATTTGAGATAATGCAGACACGCCCACACACACACACACACACACACACACACACAATCAAACACACGTCAAAAGGAAAGGATGCTACAATATATGCATAAAGCGTATCTTTGACATACCATAACAACATATCACTATTGGATCACCTTTTTTGACTATTTTAATTCTATCTACCTATCTCTGTCCATCCGACGTGTATACACCAAAATGTTCAGTAAGAAGATGAAATACAACACGGTAATAATAATAATACGAACAGTGATAATAACAGACTACCCACCCACCCACGCACCCACCCCCGCAAAAAGAAGGCAGGACATAGTTGGGAAAACGAAAATCTTTGTTTTTCTTCATCCACAAATGAAACGAAATAATAAAGCCCCAACATTTTCACATGTATATGAGTAGCGATAATACTGAATACTCTTCACAGTTTCAAATAAATCTCAAAGTTTATATATATATGTAAATATATCTTATCCTGTCTCTCTTCTACTGTATATGTGTATATGCGTATACTATTATAAGATATAGAAATAGTATAGAAGTATTAAAAAACACAAAAGGAACAAAACTCTTTGATGATCTCTATCTCGTCTAGGTAATTTTTGGTTTTCTGAATTGTAGAGGGGGAGATCAAGCAACAGACAGACAGACAGACAGACGGAGAGAAAAAAGGGGGAGGGAGCCACGGAGGAGGAGGAGGAGGCGAAGAGGAAAACGATCGAAAACATGGTAAGACAACAACAACGACAAGTGAGGTATATATAGACGCGTGAAGCTACACACACACGTAAGAGTCAATTAACTAACATCAATAATCCTGTTGTTTAGGCGCATTTAACAAATTAAATCAATTTAATTTAATGGAATATAGACATCACAACACAAGACTACACAATGCGATACAACACATTAGTCGAATAATTCAAAGTCTTCCACAAATTAAAATGCATCGATTTTTCCACTTTGTTGAAAGGCATTAACAAATAATTACATAAAAAATAGACACAGAGAGAGAGAGAAGACAAGTATGCGGTGGTGGCGGTGGTGGGGGAGGGGGGTTGTTTGTTTGTTTTTGTGTGAGTGTGTGTGTGTGCATGTGTGATGAAAGCGAACAGCTAGAAGAGGGCTTTTTTTCACTTTATTATTCTTGTTATGTTGGACGTATATTAACTATGCGCTGACGGGCGGGCATTATTGTGTACTTCCACCAATAGACAGAATAGGAGAGAAAAGAAAATAAACAATCAACAATAGACGCGGTAGAATTACTGATGTGATCATGCTGTTGACAACAACGACGACGCCGACATATATATATTAATATAGTGCTACTGAAATAATACTATAATTTATTTATTTATTTATTTTTCAAAAATGTGAATGAGTGAATCAATACGCAGACTTCAGTGGACTTCATCATCACCATCATCATCAAATGCATACTTCCCATTGTAGTACAGCTGTATCCTTGCCACCAATAGATATTAGCCTAGATCCATCGTATAAGAAGGTGACATTTGTCACATGACTTGAATGACCATTATAGGCGCGAAATTCTGCCTAAAAGAGGTCAATAAAATACAATAAGGTTTATATATATATATATATATATATATATATTCACGAGTTGATCACAGATCGATATCAGTTAGAGAACCATTGAAAATGCAACGGAGAGTAGTGGACAGCTGTTTTATCCTGGCATGGCTTTAGGAATCATCAGTGGTACGCACCGACCGGACGGAGTTCGAATCCAGGACCTCCCATTTACAAGGCAGGCTGGCTCGTATACCACTCAGTCACTGGGACCCGATTCATGATTCAGTGCGACCCAAACCAATGTCGTTGGCGGGACATCCATCCTTACACATTTGACTGGTTGGACCTCACAATGGTCACGACTTCTCACTAGAACTCACTCCAGGAAACTCTGTCCTGTAACAAGTCACTGTCGAGCATCAGATTAATTTTCAAGAGTTGGTTTATAAGGATTAAATTTGTTTTGACGAGTTGGTTGATCACGGATTGGTATCCGTTAGAGAACCATTGAAAACCAGCACTGGAGTACTGGACAGATGTTTCGTCATAGCTTGTGACTCCTCAGCAGTACGCAACCACCGGGGTTCGAACCCACGACCTTCTGGCTACAAGGCCAGCGAGCTCGTAGACCATTGAGCCACTGGGACCCGGTCCAATTGTACTTGAATTCTAACTTCTGCCAATTCACGACATATGGCGACCATTTCACAATGTCTTCTTCGATGAGTTACTGCCTCATCTTCAACCTGCTGTACCCTAATACTGGTCACGGCTTCCCGCTAGAAGCCGAGGTTAACTGCCTGAATAGGTCCAGTTACTAGTGAGCATCAGATGAATTTTCAAGTATTGGTTTCGTGGGGATTTTCTTTGATTTCATTGGAGGATTTCATCATGAGCTGACATCAGTTATTCGATAAAATTAGATGCAATATTGTACCGAATGCTGAAACTTCCACACTGTAACATTAGTACTGTTAGGGAACAGAACACATTATTATTATCATTATTATTTATTTTTGACTACAGCTTGATTCCACACAGTATTTCTTTTGGTATAAGTATAGAACTTTCAGCACATGATATCGATAGCCCAAATTTTACAGGCCGACCATTGATATCAGGTGTGCGTCAGCAGGGGATGGAACCCCGGACTATGTGCATGATCGGCTAGAGTCCTAACCAATGTGCCATCACCGACGCGTTAATTAATCCAAGACTACCTCTAATAGTTTCATTAACAATGAAACATCTACATGGATGTTAGACAACATTACATGGCTAATTGATCTAGTTTTTCATTCATATACATATAATACAGTTATATACATGCAAAGTATATCCTTTTTGTTTGTTAAATATGCGGACTACATCAAAAATAATAAAGCTTCGTAGAGTAATGCACCTAGACAGAATGTAACACACGATGATATTTTACATCGGAAGAATTCTAATGGATTAATATGCTAACAGTAAATACACTGTTGCCGGGTTCGAACCCCGGTGGGTGCGTACTGATGAAGAATCCCAAACTAAGCTGACAAAACAGCTGTCCAGTACTCCCAGGTATTTCAATAGTTCTCTAACCAATGTCAGCTCATGCTGAAATCCTGTAACGAAACACTGTTACCAGTTTTATTGCATAACCTCGCGTTCAGAGAGAGTGAACAGAGGGCTTCAGACCCTGAAGTTCTAGTACCTGACGGCGGGGGCAGGGGTGTTATTTCTTTACAAAGTAGGTTTGCTATCGGTCTTACACACAACCCGCTCTTCCCTCCCCCCTCTTTTCCAAGCTTGCTACCGGTTAAATGAGATTTAGGAGTGTGCTAGTCGGGAATAGAAACCCAGAGCATGCTTAGTGTTGTTGGCTTGCGTCTTACCATTAGGCCACCGATATACCTTGCTATAATTAAATGACAAAATAAGAGGAGAGGAATTCAATGTAAGCGTCTGTTTCACCATCCAGTTACACAGAAGCTTGTTCATTTGATAGTTCCGAAAGTGTAACTGATGTAGTCACCTAGATTTTCACTTCAATCGTATGCCAAACCAAATGCATTCATCACTTTCACAGTTATTTATTTCTGACTACTACTAATCAGACAATGACTTTTCTAATAAACACAAATTGAATGGTTTAATTGAATTTTAGATTTTCCCGTCGATTGATTAGACCGAAGTGCTCGATCTCAGGTTGACATGTCGGCTTCTTGTGCAGATGTTACAACGATGTGTGGGCATGTCATCTTGTCATCTGAATGTACCCACATCCCCCAGTTCGAGCCTCGGTGGGAGCATCATCACTCACTGGGGAATACAGGTACATCCAGTTGAAGAGTTCCACACAAGACGAAGTGTGCATCTTGGATTCCACCGCTAGTCATCACCCATCAACTAACTTACAAATTGAGTGGTGGCAATTTGTTTGAGTTAATTCGTATTTTCAAGTTGACTGGTTTGTATTGGGCCGAAATTCCCGGTCTCATTTGACATGTCAGCTCCTTGTACGGACACTTTGACGATATCTGATATTATATTTAGGTTGATGGTGACTAGCAGTCGTCCTACTTGGGACTCGTCCAGCTGAATGTACACCTGCGTCGTCAGTGAGGGATGGTGTTCCTACTGAGATATATCAACATAGACTAAGTGTATGTCGGTCCAGCTTAAATCTTCTAGCGGGAAATACAAAGTAGCTGAAACAAAAAGCAACTGACAGCACCCAGTTGCATAAGAGGTAACTTTCTTCGGCTTTTTAGACCAGTGGATAGTGCTTTGGCACTTGAAACGATAGGTGCTAAAAAAAATCATCAACGAAATAATAATAATAATAATACCATGTATATTGGCAGAAGTCGATTCAATTAGGTAGTGAAATGGTAGTTAAGCAAAATAGTCCTAGCGACTCAGTCCCTTGCCGTTCATTTTTTGGTGCATAATGCTCGACTATCTCAGGATATAATTTAACAAAAGTTCAATTTTCTTTCGTCTTTTAAGATTCGCTAACTCCACTTGTTAAGTTTTCGTTGCAAACCAATATCAATAAAAAAGATCATTGAAAACCACAGAGCACTGGACACCTAATTCGTCCTGTCTTTGGGACTTCTCATCGGTGCGCACCCACGACTCCACCCCAGAGACTTTCAGATTATGAGATTAAGCTCGTTGACTATTCAGCTATTTTTAGGCTGCTATTCATTGAGCCTTGATTTCTAATTTCCTCAATTTGTGATACAGTGCTACTGTCGTTAACCAATGTGTCTAACTGACTGGATGCAAAAAAGGATTATTTAGCAATAACAATAATTAAATTGAATTTTTTACATTTTCCCGTCGATTGATTGGACCGAAGTGCTCGGTCTCAGGTTGACACGTCGCCTTCTTGTGCAGATACTCCGATGATATCGGAGCGTTTAATTGGTGGATGGTGACTAGCAGTGGAATCCAGCCAGGATGCGCATTTCATCCTATTTGGGACTCGTCATCTGGATTTACCTGCATTTCCCAATGAGTGATGATGTTCCCACCGAGGCTCGAACCCAGTGCTCAACGGGAAAATCTAAAAAATTTAATTAAATTAATATGACCCTTTGGACAAGAGGTGGCTCTCGTGGCCCAAGTGGTCTAGTGGATAACGCTTTGGCGTTTGAAACTATCAGCACTGGGTTCGAGCCTCGGAGGAAACATCATCACTCACTGAGAAATCCAGGTGCATTCAGATGACGGGTCCTAAATAGGACAAAATACACATCCTGACTGGATTCCACTGCTAGTCACCATCCACCAATTAATTAACAATAATTTTCAAGAATAAGTTTGTAGGGATCCACTTTTGGTTCAGGTGAGACCGCGGATTGATAACAGTTAGAAAACCAGCCATAGGGAGTACTGGACAGCTGTTCTGTCCGAGTGCTCGGAACTCACCAGCAGTGCGCACCCACCAGACAGGGTTCGAGCCCAGGCCTTTCCGATTACAAGGCAAGCTAGCTTATACACCATTCAGCCATTGAGACCTGAATCAATGGCCAGTCTGTGAATTCTAACTTCTACAGACTCATGATTTTAGCGATAGTGACTGGCTACAGTGAGAAGTAACCAGTGGAGTCTATCCTGTCGGTAGTGAGCTTAGGTCCTAGGTTCGAACCCCGTCCGGTGGGTGCATACTACTGCCGATGACTTCCAAGCTACGCAAGGATGCAACAGTTGTCTAGTACTCCCCACTGGGTTTCCAATGCTTCGCTAATTGATATCAATCCGCAATGCAACCCGAAAAAATAATAATAAATAATCTTGAAAATAAATGTTTCTTTATGAAAACAAAAGAATAATCCCATCTACCTTTGGTTTATTAGTTGGATAAGTGAATAATTTAACTTTGCCATAATCATCTCCTGTAGCTAAAATATCAGCTGTTGGACTATGCGCGCAGGCATTGACATCTGTACCATCTGAATCTGGTGGCCAAATACCGGCTACTTCCCAGCCAAGTGTACACGTTTGACTAGCCCATTCTAAATCACGTAATGTACTCGGTGAAACAACCTTAAATATGATGTAGGAAGAGGCGGAAAAAAGAAGAGATACAATAAATTACATTATATTTTATTACATAATATATATATGGGAATAAAATAACTAACAAAACTATAGATAGGGTAAGTCACATCCTACCTAAATAGAATAAAATATTGACGTTAAAGTTTAGATAGTTAGAAAGAGCAGACAATAGAGGAACACTGTGTCAGGGAACCAACCACCAAAAAACTTTATCGACTAAGAGATATTTCAGAAAGAAGAAGATGGATTGGACAAGTATTCCAGTCAAATGACATGCGAGACACAAACACGCAGACGACTCAGACTCGAATACGAAGCAATGAGTTGGGCGTGGGTTCGACGGCGACTTGGAGATCATATATAAAGAGACGGAATGAAAACTTCTTGATAGCTGTTGAGTCATACCGCTTGGAAGCGATGACAAGAGACGGAATGCAACGGACATATGCTGCATTAAGAATACAACCAAATCAACAATAATAATCATAAACATAACAGAATAAAACAATAACAACTGTAAAACAAGAAAATACGAATAAAAAAGACATTTACAAGTATTGATTTGTAGGGGGGGTGGGTTAGGTTTGATGCGTTGGGGGATTTCATCATGAACGTATATCCCGTATTCCTTTGTTTATTAGATGTATCACACAGTAAGTGAAACAGTATTATTACTTACTGGACGACAAAGTTTCGAACAAAATTTATTGTGGTTCATAACCATATCATCAATTATCATCACACGACTTCGAAAAACTTGAGTTTTATAGTTTTCTTTGTTCTCTCCTATTTATCTGGCTGGACAGGTGTTGAATCATTCCTATTACCCGTATTCTCTCCCAGTTGATTCGATAAATAAAGCCTCAGTCACTTATCAATCTCTCCCTTCCTGGATGCATGTAAAACATGACAACACCGACAATAGGGAATAGAAATCATCATCGGTACTCCCATGCAAAGAAGGAACCTTGGAAACAACCTTATGGTGGAGAATTCTTAACAATGCAGGCAGGAATAAAAGTGGCTGGCATTCAAACCACCCACAAACTCAATTAGAAACAAGCTTCGTCGGTTAAAGGATCAATCAGTTGTGTGGAGCCAACCAAACAAAAAGGCTCAGTTCATCTAATACCTTGGCTGTGTAATGATTCTCAGTGGATTCAATACATAGGTCAAACTAGTAGAATAGGGTCAGTCAGACAGACTAGCCGAACATAAAAACCTAGAAAAATCTAGATTAGTTAACCCGAATAAGATAAGAAATCTAGAAAATAGTTTAGCTGTAGCACTCACTACATGCAATCACATTCCTCGACGAGCAATGTTAGCGAATGTAGGGTCAGGCTGGAAAAAAGCTAGAGGCGGTCAAACAAAAACTTGGAACCGGTCAATGAAATCCACAACAGTTGGTCTAAGCCACGTAGGAAGGTGTAGACTTCCAGGCTGAGGTCCTCGAGACGGTAAAAATCAATGGTTGGAAACAGTTGGTGACATGGCTCAAAATCGTTCTCAGTGGCTAGTGCAGATGCATCCACTCCTTGTGACATATGATCTCCACCAATGAAACTGTTTTGTTTTTCTTTATTACTCCTTTGTCTCACGCCTCTGCTCACTGTCTCTATTATGCTTTTCTTGTACTTTCTTCTCTTGCTTCGCGTGCTACACGGAGTGTGGTGACTTGAACTTCCGCACATTTGTGCAAAGTTCTATGTCGAAAACAGACAGACAGACAGAGACATCACATACAACCATACAATAAGATGGATGGGATAGGATGACAGTTTTAAAATCCAATGTCACAGGGTGGAGGGAGACATTGATGTCAACGGAAGCTTTGTTTATCGAATGAACTGCAAACACGTGTAATAGGAATGATTCAACACCTGTCCGCCCAGATATCTGGAAGAATCTACTCCCCCCACGACGATGAATAAGAGAGAACAAAGAAAACTATAAAACTCAAGTTTGGAAGTCATGTGATTATAATTGATGACATGATTATGAACAATAAATTTTGTTCGAAACTTTGTCGTCCAGTAAATACTAATACTGTTTCACTGTGTGATATATCCATCTAATAAACAAATTAATATGGAATTACTTACTTACTACCACAGTGCCCAAGTTTTACACATATATTAATATAAGCTTATATCGGTTAAAGAATCATTGGTAACCAACCGTAAGGAGAACTGGATAGCTGTTTCGTCGGCCCAGTTTGGAATTCGTTAGCGGTACGCACCCACCACAAGAGTTTGAATCCAGGACCTTCAAGTGACAAGGCCGGTGAGCTCGTAAACCACTAGGCAGTCCACTAGGACTTTATCTAATAGCCAACCCATGCATTCCAAATGTTGCCGATTCACGATATAGCGCGACCACCTAGTAATGTGTCTTCTTCGATGGGTAATCGTCCTCACCTTCAACCTGCTGTATCCTAGTGGTAACGGTTTCCCAGTAGAACCTTAGGTAACTGCTTGAATAGTCCAGTACTCCATGGAGGTGTTCCAGTGGTTCTTTAACTGATGTCAGCTCATGATGAAATCCTCCAACCAATCAAACAAACAAAATGCCTACAAACCAATACTTGAAAAGGACTTTCTCTTTTTTAACAAACCAACAACTGTACTGAGTGAAACTTTTTAACTCTCTTATATAATTTACCAGTATCCGTTATGCATATATATTTTGACAATGTTGAAGATAACAATTTGAACAGACCTGTATATATTTAAAGGAAGAGAATGGAACTTGTATTTCAATTTATATATTATTATTATTATTATTATTATTGTGTCCTTTAGTTCCTAGAAGAACATAGGGCTTCAGCTGCGCACCTCCATTGCCTTCTGTCTTCTGACAACTTTTTCACCCTGCTCCAGGTCTGTCCACATGCTTTCATCTCCTCCTCGCATGACCTCCTCCAAGTCACCCTCACACTGACGACCAACTCGGCGCTTCCCAACCGAGTTCCACTCGAGGGCTTGCCTATTGATGTCACTTGATGGATTCCTCAGACTATGGCCAAACCATCTCCATTTCTTCCTGCCTATTTGTTTCAAAATCAGTTTCTGGTTGGTTTGCTCTTTGCCAGAGATCCCTATTGCTGATCTTTTCTGGCAGGCCATCTCATCTTCAGTATTGAGCGAAGACAACTGTTGATGAAGGTCTGAAGTTTGTTTGAGATGCTTCTTATGACTCGCCAAGTCTCTGATCCGTATAGAAGCACTGATTTTACATTGGAGTTGAAAATCCGGACCTTATTTTTGATTCTGAGTGCTGTTGACCTCCACACAGATTTGAGAGTAATGAAAGCTTGTCTTGCTTTTCCGATTCTGGCTTTGATATCCTCGTCAGTTCCGCCTGTAGTTGAGACGATGCTTCCCAGGTAGGTGAAGGAGGTTGTTTCTTTCAGGTTCTTCCCACTTATGCTGATTGTTGTCTGTTGTTGGCTAGGAATCTTCATCACCACATCTGTTTTCTCTATGTTCACCTGAAAGAAGTCCTATCTTCACTGGATGCTTCTTCTGCCAACTTGTTGCTTTTCACTTGCATATCTTCCAGTTTGTGGGAAATCAGACATATATCATCGGCGAAATTCAGATCCTACAAGTCTTTTGAGTCAGTCCATTTTATGCCTGTTCCCTCTTTTGTTGCCGTTGTCTGTCGCATTATCCAATGGATTGCAATCAGGAAGATCATTGGTGATAGTAGACAGCCTTGATTCACTCCCGTCCTCACTTCGAAGGCTTCCGTAAGTTTCCTGCTGTGGATTACTTGGCATGCAGCATTGTTGTATAGCTGTTGGATGAGATGTATAATTGTCGATGGGACCCCGTAGTAGCGAAGTAGTTGCCAAATGACCTCTCGATCGACGCTGTATATATAAATTCAGATGAAAATAAAACATGTAGTTCATTCAGCGAAGAGTCTCTTTTCGGCAGCGAATTCATTCATTCGCTTGGTTGTGGGGAACCATGGAGAAATTAAGACTAGCAATAAAATTAATGATGGAAATTACGAAGAAAGTAGTGTAGAATTCAAAGCCTCAGTATATTACTGTCGTATAAAGCAGGAACGTTGTCAGAGGCCTTACACGTAGTGAGATTCTCAAGAGAAGCTGGAATTAGCTAGGGTGTCATTTAAATCAACTGATAAACACTCAGAGATAAACTTTTTCGACTTAAGGACCCAATAGATCCAGTTAAGAAAAATAATTTAATAATTTGCCGAATACCATGTAATGCTGACTGTTAGTGAGGTCCAATTAGATAGGTCGGTCAAACTAGTAGATCACGGTCAACTGGATTATTCTTCTAACCACACCTAGAATAATTGACCCTGCTAAGCTAAATAACCTGGTAAAAAGCTCAGTCAATGCACTGCATTGAATTCACTTGCATGTCATCTATACAATACGTCGGGCGAGACAGAATGAGAGTATTAAAAAGTAATAGAGTTAGGCGGAGAGAGATAGAGAGAGGTTAATCACTGAAATTTTGTTTATGGATTCAACACCACACACGCTACTAAGGGGTGCCTCCAACAACTATACACCTCATCCAACAGTTGTACGATAATGCTACATACCGCCAAGTAATGCACAACGGGAAACTCACGAAATCCTTCGAAGAAGTGAAGACGAGAGTAAGACAAGCTGGCTGCCTACTATCTCCAATGATTTTCCTGATGATTGCGGTAGATTGGATAATGCGACAGACGGCGGCGGGCAGCGAGGAGACAGGCATTAAATGGACTCACACAAAATACTTGGAGGACCTGGACTTCACTAATGATATAGGTCTGATTTCCCATAAACTGGAAGATATGCAAGTGAAAAGCAACAAGTTGGCAGAAGAAGCATCCAGTGAAGATAGGACTTCTTTCAGGTGAACATAGAGAAAACAGATGTGGTGATGAAGATTCCTGACTAACAGCAACAGCGACAGCAACAACAACAACAACAACAGACAACAATCAGCCAG